TTCATGTGGATGGCTGCGAGTAGACTGGCTTCCATGTTGAGATTTGATATTATATAGATAGAAGATACAGACGATTTGCAATTTGTTTCAGCGCTTTTGAACTGATTGTCTGAGGAAGGCTAAAAGTTCTCACTGCGATCAATTGTACAAAGAGATTGGAGCTTTAAAGCAGCAGCTCCACAGTTGGAGGCTTAGCGCCTGGTGATTTGGGCTTAATGAAGTGACTCTCGGCCAAATCTACTTGCTCAGGTCAAGGACAGCTTGGAGGTGGATATTCTCAAGGAAATGCACCCCCCCAAGAATGCCTTGCAAGGACCCTCGTCATCTTGGAGTGTCGGCACATGACCGCCAGAATCTACTCAAGTTTACGCTCCTCCTGGGGGTGTCTCAATGAGAAAAAAGCCAGCACTGGCCGACGCAGCCTCCAGGCGATGACTTGAGGGCCTTGGGCTCGGAGCTTCAGCAAATCCGACAAGATAGCCAGGAGGGCCCAAGGGGCCGCGCCGCGCCTGACAAGTCGTCGGGGGTGATCATCATCAATCTTGGAGGTCTCACCAGAATTCTGAGAGGCATCATGTGTGATATGTGGGGCGAGGTTCGGTTGAAATTTGGGGGGGATCTCCCAGTGAATTCCTTCACATTTCACTCGAAGGATGTGAACATGCAGCCTGTAGAGGTGCAGCTCTCCCAAGAAGTGGGCCCGTTGTGGGCTTCGTTTGCGCCCCAGGAGCTCCGGGATCTCATGGCACGACAGCATGACGAAGAACTGCAGAGACTTCGAGATGAGCTGGAACGGTTACACCGATCTTCCAGAAGTGCTCAAAGTGAAGTCCTTCAGTTGGAGGCCTGGTAAAACATCCACCAGCTCTCGTTCTTGCTCCATGCAACTCGGTGGGCTCGCAGGCCGCGCAAAAGCAGCAGGCCACGTCCGAAGCTGCAGCTGCACGGAAGCTTCAAGACAGGCCCACTTGGGCATTTGTGAGAGTTGTATGGGATAAGAAGCGAGGGAAACATCCTGGAGTGGTGGGTAATTAGGCTGAAGTGTGTTGAAGTTCTGAGTGTTTTCAATCCAGATTGAACATTTGTTGGGTGTAACTCTACCCATGTGATCAGTGCAGATGTTCACCAAGAGAGCCGCACAGTTGGGAAGACAAAGAATACTCCAGTGTACTGTGGGTCACTGGAATGTTACTGCCAGAGAATCCACCACTTCAATGCTGAAATCAAGTTTTATCTATCACACTCATGTTTGTCCCTCAAGTAGCAAGCTTCACCTGGTTTGACCCAGGTGCCGGCAACTGGAGCATGGCACTGAGGTTGCAGAGGAAACTTGGCTAGACTTCCATAGTTCTAACATAGTTCTATATAACATGGTCTATAAGAAATCAAGTTGGGTTGCTGCAACGAGGAGATTTGGTACGGACAACCTTTGTCACTGTCCAACACATGTCGGTATTCGGAGAGTAGCCTTTGCAGGATGAAGTTCATAAACTTCCCCAACTCTATACGAATGATGTGCAAAAGGGTCTTGAAAAGAGGTTTTTGCTCCATGACATGGCGTGCAACGGAACCATTTGGAACCTGTGAATCACCTCGGCCTCCGGTCTTCCAGGGTCGCTGAGTTCTGAGATCCCGGTGATTGGATTACTTGAGTGGAAAAGCTGTTGGCAAAGGCTTGGGTGACCTGATGACCTAATTAGTGTGGCTCAACGTGATCTAGCGAGAGGCTGCCCTAGCGGCTGGTGAACCGGCTTTGGGGCTCTGGGCTCAATTTCCCATTTACATCCATTCACACTTCCGCTGTGATGTTGGGGAACGTGACCGTATTTGCCCAGATGCCGATTCACTACTATCACCCCAGGTTCATTGGGGTTTCTTCCGGGGGCGGAAGCGAGGCAAAGCTCCTGGCAGCCGCTGATGAGTTGAGACTCATGGAGGTCGGAGACAAGTGTTTCTCATCATGCAGACTGATTAATGCAATTTGTTCCAACAGCTCAAAGTGGGAATCGACTCAAAGCCAGTAGGTCAAGCCTACGTAGATCTCTTGGTAGATCACTTCTTGAATGGTAGATCCTCCAAGAGATATAAAGAGATATATATAGATCTCGTCCGAACAAAGCAGCCACTGGGAGACTAAAGATCTTATGTCGTTACTTCGGAATGGCTTCTGAGACGGTCGATGTCGGCCGCTTCGAACATGAGTAGCTAGCTGTTCATTGGCGAGTCGGGTGAGGCCAAGCACAAGCAGTTGGATCAAGAAATGCATAAGGAACAGGCCAGGTCCTTGGGCCGATTAGGTGGAGCTGCCACAGAGCAAGCTGACTGGCGCAATTGAGTGGAGAGTATTGGAGTACCAGCTGAAAATTGAAAATGCATCGATACACAGAGAGGTCATGTGTCATGTGATCCATGAGTTGAATCGATGCCGAATGAACTCTCTAGCCTCGTGGGCCGAGGCAGCAGCTCAGCTAGCTCAGACGCAGATTGAGAGACTGCACCTGGAGCAGAAGAGCATGATCTTGGACCGGGCACTACAGGCCGGAACTTCAAGTTAACCAGGCCGGAATGTGGGTAACTCATGTGGGTTTCCGTGATGTGGCGCAGGAAGAAGCAGAGGAGCGGTCAAGCACTTTGATGAAACGCCTGGCAGCAAGTGAGCATCAAAAAGAAGAGCTTGATAGGCGTCCTGCTTGCAAAAGGAACAACTCTCCATTCGATAAAGCGAGACACTGTCGATGAAGTGTGGGAAGCTTTCGGAATCCTGTACGAACCAAGGAAGCTTCAGCAAGAACGCAGTCAAGTTCATCTCGTTCGGCAGCAGTTGGACGCGACGGCACTTTATCACGCTCTCCAGCTGCAATATCAACAGAAACTAGATAGAATATTTGCTGGCACGTGCACCCACCCACACACCCTTGGACCCGTTGAAACTGTTGAAACAACGCCTTGGCAAAACATGCAAAGCCAAGTGTAACTTGTGTCCATTTGTGTCTGGTTTCGTTTTTTCAAGAACACGGCTCCAAGGAGGAGGACGCTACTAGGAGCAAAGGGCATCGCTACTAGCAAAGGGCATCGCTCGATTCGAGGACCGCGCACAAGAGCGCATCGCCATGCTCGAGGCGGCGAACAAAGCCGCCGACCTGCAACAGGCCGTGGAGTGCGCCTCCCTTTGGACCGAGTCCGGGACACCCAGCGGCGTTTCTTGGACGGACCGGCGAACTGGGACGTTTGGAAACGGCCCCAACTTGGGTCGAAATGGGAAGTCCCCAAGACAAGACCAATCCTCTATCTTACCTGGAGAGTATATAGATGATGTAGATGGCATGTGAATACATGTGCTATCAGGTGCCCTCAAGGGTTTTGTAGGCGGGATAGCTCGCATGGAGGCCTGTTTCATCAATCTATACTCTTCAAGTAGTGTAGATCCTCTACGCCCAATGACCCCAATGTGAGTGTTTTCTTCACAGTAGTAATGCCACAGCACAGGCTGTTGTGCCATGTGCAGCTTTCCTAAACTTGTCCTGATTGCAGTAGTATACTAGTAGTAGTAGTAGTAGTAGTAGTAGTAGTAGTAGTAGTAGTAGTA